CCCCACAGGGCAGGCAGCCCTGACCAGACGACTGTGGCCCGCAGACGCCATGCTGCGGAAGGACTCGTGCGTGTGCCCCAACCCGTGCGCCATCACGCGTTACGCCAAGGAGCTCTCTATGGTGCGGATGCCCAGCCGCGCTGCTGCCCGCTACCTGGCCCGGAAATACAACCGCAGCGAGGCCTACATCGCGTGAGCCCGGCGGGGTGGGGCGGGGCGGGCGCCTTCCCCCGGGCCAACCAGGCCTTCCTGTGCCCACCCACCAGCCTGCATGTCAGCGCGGGGCTCTGGACTAGCCGCCTAACGTTTCTGACGCTGTGTCCTCTGCAAACGGGGGTGACGACGTCCCTCCTAGAGACCAGAGAAGGCGCACCAGGGGTGTCCAGTGAGCATTCCCGCCCCCTTTCCTCCAGGGAGAACGTACTGGTGCTGGACATCTTCTTTGAGGCCCTCAACTACGAGACAGTGGAGCAGAAGAAGGCCTATGAGGTGTCAGAGCTGCTAGGTGTGTGTGCAGGGTGCCCTGGGGAGGTGTGCACAGAGCAGGTGGCTGTGAGCCGACAGTGACTCCATCTCCACAGGCGACATTGGGGGCCAGATGGGGCTGTTCATCGGGGCCAGCCTGCTCACCATCCTCGAGATCCTGGACTACCTCTGCGAGGTGGGCCTGGGCCCAGCTCTGGGAGAGGGAAGGAAGCCCGGGACCACCCGGGAGGTGGGGGGAAGAGGAAGAGCTGTGGGCTGACCACCTCCCCACTGCTTGCCCCCAGGTGTTCCTAGACAGGGTCCTGGGATACTTCTGGAACCGGAAGCGCTCCCAAAGGCCCTCCAGCACCCATCTGGTAACAGCCCGCTCTTCCTCCCCTGCCACCTCCACCCGGATGCTCTGCCCCGTCCCCTTGAAGCCCAGCAGGGAGGGGCATGCAGGATTTGGCTGGTCCCTGGGTGGGAGGAGCCTTCCCCTCCTCTGACCCTCTCCCTTCTCCCACAGCTTCAGGAAGGGCTGGGCAGCCATGGAAATCAAGTGCCCAATCTCAGTTTAGGCTCCAGGTAACACAAAATGCCCCCCTAAGGTCAAGGGAGATGGGGCAGGTCCAGTCCAGAGGGTGGCGTTCAGGTCCAGGAGGGCAGGAGCAGGGCAGGGCATTGGTCCGAGGCCTCCTGTCCCAGCGCTGTGGTCTGTGTCTCAGCAGGCCTTCCACCCCTCCCTGTGCCGTCACCAGGACTCTTTCCGCCTCCCACCGCACCTGCTACCTCGTCACACGGCTCTAGACCTGGTGTCTGCGTCTTCAGGGCCAAGCCTCAACATCCTGGACACGCTCTGCCTGCACATGACTTTGTCACCTTCATCCCAAATAAAGTTCTAGTGCATCAGCCTGAGCTATTCCTCTTACGGGCAGACCAGTCAGGCCAAGGTCAGCCCTACTCAGGCACAAGACTTCTGCCAGCCATCATCTAAGGACATGGTGTCTGAAACGTGGGTGGCTTCCCAATTAGCCTGCAAATGTCTCTCTGGGAGAGAAGAGTAATAAGGGGGCACCAGTCATTTGTACCTCAGCGGGAATGAGCTTCAGTGTGACATCTCAGAGAGAATGGAGCCCAAGGCCAGGTGTGCAGGCAGACAGGAGTCAGTGGCAGGACAATCCCATTGGGGGACTATAGGGAAGTGGGGAGCAGGCAGAGGGAATCATCTCCCACTTCCAAGAACACAAGCTGTTGTCCTGCCTTAGATCATGACTATTTTTCTCACATATGGGATCAGGCTCAGCATGCTGTCTCCATGGGAAGAGCTCTTGCTTCCCCGGCCTCCCTTCAACAGCAGAGGCCCCAGCTTGAGAGGGTGAGGGGGCCGGCCTCACTTCTGCTAGTAAGGACACGCCCAGCCACAGCCCACTTTCCCTGCAACCCCAAATATGAGAAAACTGACAAGGCAGCAGGGAGAGGTGTTCCTGATCTAACTACATCTTTGAGTCTCTCCTGTCCCAGCCTGCAGGCCGAGGTATGGGGGGGATGAAGAGGGAAGGGACAGGGCAGGCACCCATGGGATATGGAGAACCACAAGGAAACACCCAGCCCTTTTCTCCTGTTCCAGTGGAAGCTCTCAGACACTGGCTGCCTACGCCCTTAGTCACGGGCCCTCCTGGGCCGAGAAAGTGGTGTGCACAAGCACATAAGCACGTGTGGGCCCAGCACTGCCCTGCGCCCAGCCACTGGGTTGAGAGTCATAGCCCCCTGCCCCCAGCCCTCAGCCCTCAGCCCCCAGCCCAGGACCACGTACAGCGCACAGGGGGACAGGACAGGGTTGCATGTGGTGGTGAAGCGGGGTAGAAACCCCAACCCAAGCCCACCCTCTCAGAGCCACCCACCACCACATTAGCCAGACTGTGGGAAAGGAGCCAATTTATGAAATTAAATAAAGTCTGTAGAGGGAGAGAGAACCCAGGCGAGGGCGCCTCCCCCCTCGTGGGCCCAGCACAGCTGGAGCTCAGCACACTGTGCGTCCTTGCTTTCCTCCCCTCCCGGGAGGGGGCTGAAAACAGGCCAGGCCCCAGCCTGGCGGCCCAGGGTCCCAGAGCCTAGGGGGGGCAGAAGTCGGAGAAGTAGGGGTGCTGCAGAGCCTCCTCTGCCGAGATGCGCTGGATGGGGTTGCACTTCAGGAGGTTCTGGAGGCACAGAAGGAAGGCGTGGCAGGGTCAGGCAGGGCCAGCTGCCCGGAGCCCCACCCTCCCCCAGTTCCCCTGCTCTCGGTCACCTGCAGCAGGTCCCTGCCTGTGGCATTGAGCTTGGGTACGACGTTCACCAGGGATGTTGTGGCCGGGTACATCGGGTAGGGCTGTAGGAGACAGACAGAGTCAGACCAGAGGTAAGGGGCATGGAGGCTGCTAGGGCTGAGGAATAAGGACCACCGCTGAACCATGACCCCCACCCCCCGTAACACCTTATAGTCCGGCAGCTTGGTCATGGCGGGCCATTGCTCCTCAGTCGGTGTCCCCAGCAGTGTGTCCAGGGAGTCAAGGATCACTCAGTGCAACAGGGCAGGGTGCGAGGCTCTTCTCCCAGGAAGGATTCCTCAGACTCACCCCTGCCCGCCCCGCTTTATCCGCCAGCTCACGACAGAAGCGGCCCCAGCACATGGGATTCTCATTTTCAGTCCCACCTGCATGGTGTTTACCGTGGGCCAGGCGCTACAGATACACATGTCATCTGCTGGGACCTGAACCCTGATGTCTGTGTACTGAGGACTGGCCAGCCTCCCCCGACTCCCACAGACCCTCCTGCTGATCCTTTTGGCTCCTTGGTCCTAAGGAGTCACCTTGCACCTGGAGGAGCATTCTCTTGGCTTCTTCCCCCAGGGATACCTCCTTGTCTACATGTCACACTCTTTCCAGCTGGCTGCATGCAGCTGCATTGTGACAGCCAGGGGTGTTCCCCACCCTCTGCCCTCCACTCCTGACCTTCAGACGCCCACAGCCCCTCCCATGCTGACCCAGCCCATCGCCCAAGGCTCCTTACTCCCCTTCCAGAGGGCTGGAGGCGAAGGGGAATGGAAGGATATCGGAAGATCCTCTTCAACTGGTCATCTACATCGTTGCCGGGGAAGAGAGGCCTCCCTGCATTGGCCAGCTCTGAGAGAAAGAGGACAGGGTGAGAGGAGCAGACACATGAAGAAACCCTCACTCCCGAGACTCCCCAGCCCCAATGGCCCTGCTCCTTGCCCCAGAGGGGACCCTCCAAACCCTATCTGTCAGCTCAAAGGGGAGAGAAAGTGCCTCTGCAGACCCCCAGCACGTCACCTGCAAAAATGCAGCCGGCTGACCACATGTCAATGGACGTGGAGTACAGCTTGGCCCCAAAGAGGACATCCGGTGGGCGGTACCACAGCGTGACCACCTGGAAAAGACCCCACCCACAGGGACCCCCCACTTAGAGGGCTGGGGGGAGGAGGCTCAGATAGGAGAGAGTAATGTTTTGGGTCCTAGAGTAGGAGCTGAGAGAGATGCTCACTGGGGAAGCCCTCCCTCAACCCAATATCCCACTCCACCCGCTCACCTCAGCTGAGTAACAGCGAACAGGGATCCCAAAGGCTCGAGCCAACCCGAAATCAGCCAATTTCAGCTCCCCATTCTGAGGGAGATGGGAGGAACAGTGTCAAGGCTAGCTCCGTGGTCCCACCTTCCAGCCCGGCTTCCTCATCGTTCAGACATTGGCTCCAGTCTCCCCCATCTCCCACCTTCTCCCCAAGAGGTACCCTGTTTATGAGCAGATTCTGAGGCTTCAGGTCCCTGTGCAGCACGTTTCGGCTGTGACAAAATCCCAGGCCTTTTAGCAGCTGGAACAGGAATGACTGGGGGAGGAGCAGGGAAGAGGGCGTCAGACCCTCTGGATGGGAAGCTGTGCCCAACTGCCCTCTTCGCCCTCTGCTTTGCTTCGTGCCCACTGGACTTTTAGCACCAAGTTGAGTGACACACCACTCATTTATTATCAAGGGTTTACTCTGTATTATGCTGGATATTAGAAATGAACAATGAATGGGGGGACTTACAGCCATGTGCACCTTCCTACCTTCTCAGCCCACACTATTCTCCCCTCCCTGGCCTCATTTGAACATCCACATCATAACAGTCAACATATACATATATTGTGTTATATTATTATTCAGCATTTGTTTCCCTTGGAATCTGAGACAAGGCATTTGGTCGTGGGCCTAGAACAGTGCCTGGCGCACAGCAAAACATTCAGTAAGTATTTGTTGAATGAATAATGTCTCTCTTTGAATCTCATTTTTTCATCTCTCAAGTGTAAATCATGTCACTGAGACCATTACTGTCAGGTCAGAGATCATGGGAAAATGCTCCTGGAGAGTAAGCACAGGATTCTCTCAGTCCCTGACACCCAGAGCGTCTCTGTTCAGGGCCTGAGCTTGGTGCTCAAAGGCAGGTACACTGAACGTATACTCGAACCCCAGCCTCCACGAGACCCCAGAACACCAGTCCCCTCACCTTCACAATTTCAGGATCTAGATCACCATTGCAGCTGTCAAAATATTTCTTAAGGTCCTAAAAAGGGATGGAGTGGGGGAATGGGACAGAGTTTAACCTCAGTCTGGGCCCCTATATCCTCCCAAGGCTACTGTCCCCCAAGTCCCACTTTCACCTGGTCACAGAACTCAAAAACCAAAGTCAACTTCTTGTCGCTATGCAGGACGTCATGAAGCCTAGGGAGAAGGGAGGGCTTAGCAGGCAGGTCCACAAGTATGCTCCTAACATCCCACTAGCAGCCCAGTCCATCGCTGAAGCCCCCCCCTTCTCCGGATGGCCACACAGGCAAGGAGGATCCTTTGGGCCTACACACCTGACAATGTTCTTGTGCTTCAGCTCTTTGAGTAGGCAGATTTCCCGAAGGGCAGAACTCGGCACTCCCTACACATGGGAGGGGGCAGGGTGGGCCACAGTCACATCCCACCCAGCCTAGGCCCTCAATCACCCCACGCCCAGATGCCCCAGTCCTACCTCATCATCGTCATCCAGCCTCACCCGTTTCAGGGCCACGATCTCATGAGTCTCCCGGTTTTTGGCCTTGAACACTGTTCCGTAGGTGCCTAGTGGAAGGAGGTTGGGGTGAGGGAAAGAATGGGGCATCCTTCCCCACCCCAAGAAGTCCTTCCCAAGACGGGAGGTATCATGGGAGTGTGTTCTGATGCCTGGAGGAATAAGAGAAGAGAATCAGGGTGAAAGCCGGGCGTGGCGGAGCTTTGTGAGTGGGGACGTGGCACAGAGGGGCCTGCAGAGGCTCCAAGTGGTCCACAGCAGGGAGAGGCTGTGACTGCCAGGTAGGTCTATAATGAAGGCAGTGCTTTGAGAGGGGCCGGAAATAGTGAGCAGGGGTCTGGGAGAGGAATGAAGGCTGGCAGGAATGTTGAGGTTGGAGGTCTGCTGCCAGAACTGAGGCTGGGGGGGAAGGGGGTTGTGCAAATGGTGCTGAGGGTAGGAAATGCAGGAAGTGCTGAGGTCTGGAGGTCGGGCCTACAGGGAGTGCTAAATTTGGGAGGGGGGCGTCTGCAGGAAATGCTAACAGGAGGATTGTTGTCTGCACGGAGTGTGGAGCTCGAGGCCAGGGCTGCAGCCGGTGCTGAGGTCGGAGTCTGTGGGCACTGCTGATGGTAGAGGAGCCAGAGATGCAAGGAATGCAGAAGATCTTGCAAGAACATCTCGTGGTCCTATTACCTTCCCCAATCTTCTCCAGTTTCTCGTATTTCTGCATCGCAGCCGCTTCGGGGACCCTTGTGGGCCCTCCGTTTTAATATTCTGGCCCCGGCAATGCAGAGGAGGCGGCACCTCAGCCTCCAGCCCGGCCCCGCCCT